TCTGGCAGCACCCGTCCACATCGCACAGCACCCTCCCCAGCTCTGCGCCAATTGTCAAGGTGCAGAATAGGTAAAACCTTAAACCTGACATATTTTTCTGATCAGGGTTATCAACAAATGTACAAAAACCTAATCCCTCTTGGGGTGGACCCTCACAGGTGCCTGTCAGCCCAGGCAGACTTGGGCTTGCTGCTACAAACACAAATTAGGACCCACAACTCCCTCCTAAAGTGCCAGAGATGTTAGGTTGAACACCATCAGGAGAGTCAGCAGCTAAGGGAACACGGGCTTCCATCTGTGAACGTTGAAAGGCTTGTCACAGAAGAAACCTGCACTCCCTGACTCAAGGTAATTCTCCTCCCTGCTGGCATGTTTGCTTGGTTTTTTCCCTAATAAACATGTTGCCTTGGGTTTTGAAAAGCAGAATGCCACCACGGCCAAAATGTCCCATGTCCCATGGTCATACTGGTACTGGAGGGACCAAGCGACTTTGAATCCTGACAGCTTCCCAGCCAGCCAGCACAAGGGAACCTAGACAGCATCACAGCCCCCGACCTGGGGAACAGCATTTCTTGGCTTCAAAAGGTCAGCTAACCACAGGGCCACCGAAGAGCTGGCAATAAAACAGTTGCATGCTCGTATTTCCACATACGGAAGAGGTACATAGGGCAGTTCATGCAGCCTGGTATGACAAACGCTCTATCAGAAACAGCCAGGGGGAGGACGGCAAGTACAGCCCCACTCTCACTCAGCAGTGGCCACAGCTTCTCTCGCAGATCCTGCGATTGCACAGCAGTGTGCAGCCAGCACGAGTGCCCTCCCGGACCCGCCACAACCATCTCCAAGCTCCATGTCCTCCTGCACCACTGCTACACCAACACAGACACAACCTGCTGTTTCTGCGGTGGCTCTGAGCCGGTACAACAGCTGGTATCTGGCTACTGTTGTTCAGAGCCCAGAGTATCCTTCAGCACTAACCAAGCACCAGACTCGGATATCCCCTCCGTCAGTAACTTGAGCATCATTCATCAGCAACGACTGTTTCAAAGCAGCACATCACCAGGAGAAGCACCGAGGGGCGGCACCTGTAATCCCCCCCTAACACTCCCCACAAGCAGCCTGCCACATGCAGAGCAGAGCAGATGCTCCACAGCAAGCCCTTGCCAACGGCTCAGGAAGTCTATTTTGGGATCTCATATGTCAGTCGTTTACAAGTCAATACAGTTCACAAAGCAAATGCCATAAACAGGAGGAGAGAAATGAGCGCTGGAGCTCTCCTAGAATCACAGAATGTCAGGGTTTGGAAGGGACCTCAAAAGATCATCTAGTCCAACCCCCCTGCCAGAGCAGGACCACCTAGAGAACATAGCAAAGACATCTTCAGGGCAGGACATACACTTCTTTACCTACACGCACGAACAAGCAGCTTGCTCTTACAGGTGCTTCTCTCCAGGCTGCTGTTCAGGTGACCACGTGTTGCCCTTTGAACAACCAGGCACCAAAGCCCCAATTGTTCAGGTGCCCATGAAACAGAGCACAAACTATTCTGGCCCTCAGCAGGGTGAAGAAAAAACTGGTATCATTTACCCAAGTAAACACACCTACCTCCTTTTGAGAGGCAGCAATTTCTCTGCACTCTTCTAGTCTTTTCAGCACATCTTGGGCATCAGAAAGGGCCTCAGAGAAAACACTTTCATACTGAAGAAAGAAATCCAGTTCACAGCTTTTGCTGTCTGTGTGAGAGAAACAAGATGAGTTATTTGTTAATTGAAGGAATTCACAGAAAGCACGATGTGATTGAAAGGCATCAGTTTGTAACCAGCACATTGGCTATAATAGAGAAACTGCGACTCACAAATCCCTTCTAAAGATACCGTGCAGCCTGGAGGGAAAACCAACAGCTTATTTAACACCAGTTATAGACGGAACATTTGTTTTATACCCCGTACAGCCTCTGTTTTCCTCCAATGCTGAACGGGAGTTTAAAGGATAAGGCAGCACGAGCAGACAACGCTGTTCACTTAGGGTTATACAGATTGCCTCGTCAACCTCACGTCCTGCACTAACGCAGATCCCGCTGTACGGCAGACGCAATCACATGCATGGGTAAGAAAAGTTTTGCTTGCTACAGCTCTGGTAAAGTGGTGAGCATGAAGCAACTGCAAAGGCCAAGGGACAGTATTGTACGGTGCTAAAGGAAGAGAGTCTCTGCAGAAAAGGGGTACCTGTTGGTGCTGTTCCCAACCCAGGGCAAACTAAAAAAGAACAAACACAGAGGAAAATATCCCCCATAACAGGAAAACATGAGTCAACGTGGTTGCAAATAAGAGGCAATGCTGTGCCCAACCTGTAAAGCCTCACCTAAACCCCTCGCTCCTCCTTTCTCCTCCAGAGGCTCAGCAAGCTCCTCTTCCGCACAGCCACCCGGCTTGGCACAGGCAGGCTGGTCAGGACGAGTGCCTGAATCCTCCTGGAGGGATCTGGAGTCACTTGACATCACGTCCTGGTGAACCCAGGTGTGATTCACGGTAAGTTCTTGGCCAGGAGGAGAAACATCTGCTTCCATTTCTGCTTCTACAGGGCCAGGAAAAGGGGAAACGCTCCGAGAGAGGAGGATATGTGTTTGTCCTTCATCAGGTTTTTCAGACTGGGGCAGGTCATTAGCTTCAGCATGGTTTCCAGACGAGTCTGCTGCCTGGCTGGAGACTTCTCTCACTACCTGGTCCAGAGTAGAACAGCTGATGAGGTCCCTAAGGAGGTTTTTGCAACTAACAGCCACATCAAACATCTGCAGACTATCTGCCACGGAGATAACTTTGGTGAAATTATGTTTCCCCAGTGGGAGTTTGCCACTGTACATCATCTCCAGCAAGAGTGCAAACTCCTCAGGGGTCACCACAGAAGCATCGATGGAGATGGTGTCTGTGCTGTCCAAGAGGGATCTAAAAAGCAGGCTGGCAGCAGCTAAAACCACCTTGTGTGCTCTAAAATGAACGTTCCCAATGAAGATGGTGCAATCACAGAAGTGCTGCTCCTTGCAGAGAGCGTACAGCTGCTGCAGCAGCTGCTTGCTGTAACTGGGAAGCTCCATGGCACCAGGGTCTACTGGCCTCCTCTCACTGTGGTCTCCATGCTGCTTTCACAAAGCCCAGCTAGCAGGGAAAAAAAAAAAAAAAAAAAAAAAAAGGATCCTGTTAGCACTTTGCTTAGATAGTAGCCAGACAGAAAGACAGAGTATGCAAAAATTACTTATAGTTTACACCTCCTAGTAGTTTACTATGCCACAGTTCAGCGGTTACAGCAAGAGGTCCCATCCTCACACTCGCCAAATTCAGCAACTTACCCTACTACAGCCGAAGAGTCCAGATCCTGATCAAATGTAAATACTTCAGAAGAGCTTGGGAACAAGCACTGAGTCCCAGAAGCTATAAAAAGGGAGAAGAGACTCCCTGATGTGCCTCCTACCATAAATCTCAAGGAGGCGTGAATGCTCTTCAGGTCAGGCACTGCAGTGCCAGGCTTCGCTTGCACCCAGAAGCTGGAGCTGATGCTGAATTCAGCAGCTGGTTTCTAAAAAGGCAGGTGGGGAAGCAGTGCAGGAAGACCTGTTCAGATCATCTGCCAAACATAGAGGAGAACCTGAGGTGTTGGTTTTGACCTGCAAAGCACTAAGTGGTTTGGAACCAGCTAATTTTCTCCCCACATCACTGCTAAAATCAGCAGGGGCAGGCAAACATTAGAGATAAGAGGTCTGCTTGCAGCCCAGGGCCTTCAGCACCTCCCTTCTCAGCGCACCACAGCCCTAACTCATCGATTTACAGGTCTTTTCCCCCAAGCAGTAATTTCTTGCAGAAATCCACAGCCCTAATCCCATCTACCAAAGCCTCCCTTTTACTTTCTTTTCCCCCCTGCCCCGTTGCAGGAGGGAGAACAGATAGGGCATCTGCCAACAGAATTTTTAGCAGCGGGATATCTGGAGTTTTTATCTAAGCTAGACAAGATAAAGATGTTACTGCCTTGTCTACACACTAGGATGCCTAACTCTGGTGCTGGCAATGATGCTGAAACAAAACAGCATGAGCGCTAGGGGAAGAGCACCTGGATGGACACGATTTACATGACCTTCAACTGCTTAACATCTTTGCACTCAGCTTCCCACGCTCTTGCAGAGAACAGGAGTAATATTGCCCAGCATCAGCACACAAGCTTTAACGAGCCGACGCTCATGCATCACCTTGAAGCTCTGCCTTGCACGAAAGCAGGCCTGGAGCCACTCTCCACTTGCACCAAATTGTAAGCTGCAAGCAGACGCTGAGCGCAGGTTGAGCTGGTATCTCCCTCCCACAAGGCACCAACTCCTCTGGAGTTCAGACGTTGTGGGAAGCTGGACCTCCTGCCCACAGGCAGGCAGGACTCCAGCGGTCCTGCATGGCACTGCCCGCAGTGGCTTTGGGAAAGCAGGAGGAGCCAAGAGACATCACTTCACACCAAAGCTACAAAGGCTGGGCAGCTGGCTGGTGGACACCGCCCACGCATGAGAGCTCCCCTGTCCTTTCAACATGAAGCACCATCTAACTTGCTTTTCAGTCATCAGGATAAGACCGCAGAGGTTTTGACATCACCTCAAAGCAGAGGCGTCATGCTCTCCATCTGAATACCTTTGAAGCAAGAGCACAGGGTGAGTGGATCGTCAATAGCCCACCCTCCTGCTCCCCAGGAGCCAGAGCTTCTCTGGGCGCAAAGGCTGTCTGGTCTGCAGCTCATCTCTGCTACTTTGCAAGTGCCAGCTCCACCCCCTCACCCGTGCCCAGGGCCAGCCACCTGCACTTTCAGCCCATTAAACACGCAGCCTTCGCTCTCCTCCCACACCTCTGTAAATCACGAGGAACCAAGCTGCCATCAGCAGAGTTGCTGCTGGTCGTGGGAGAAGAAAGAGACCCATTTCTTTTGCCAGGCTCAATGTAATAGCAGTTTTAGTCCACCCACTCCTTCCCTGGAGCCGAAGGACTTCCAGTATCTGAGACAAAATTCAGTCTGGTGGTTAAATAGTAATAGCTGTGGCTCTTCCTCCAAAAGGACAAGCAGGAACCATTGACATCCTGGAAGAGATGTCTGCTCACTTTGCCATGAATAGCCTTCTGCATAAAACCTATCGCTTCCACTGCGCCAGGCTGGAAGAAGCAGCAGCACCGTCTGCTCCCTCTATTCCTGGCAAGGATATAGAAGACATATTTGCCCATGACAGCTCAAAACAGAGAAGCTCTAAGCAGCCTACAGCACCTTCCCTTCTTCATTATGGCAACTTGGAGCACTAGAAAATGTGTCCTGAGCAATTAGATTAGACATATTTGTTTAAATACATTTTACTTCTTTAATTATAGGGACCAAAATATCCAGTACTGCCAGAGAGAATAGACTATGTTTTTTAACAAGGGGTGATGGCCAAGACCATCTTCAAGGCAATTGTCCCCTACTCAGAACAAGCTCCAGGCTTTTATTCAAAGCTTACAGCCAGAAGGGGCCACCACCAGCAATCTGATTTCTCATCCATCACTGCCTCCCAGACTTCTGTACTCAGTAACTTGGGTTTGGCTAAAGCTTCTCTTCCAGCAAGGTGCCCAGTCATGACAGGAACTGGTTTCTAGGGGGAGGACCTTCCATTGCCACAGCTATTCTAAGTGTTACATTACATGCCTTGTCTCTTACCCAAATCTGTCTGGTTTCACCTCCCAGCCATCTAGACGGCTTTTGTGAGATTTGGCTGGGGGATTGGGCTGAACTGGGACTCTCTCTCTGACAGCAGGTAACTAATAGTTCTGCAGCAATGAGTGCTTACAGAGCAGAAGCCACCCGCCTCTGCCAGTACCACTGGTAAGAAAAAGCCATTTGTTACTTTTTCAGCTTAAAGCTGCCTCTCTGCATCCTCTTCGGAGCCAGGCTCACTGGGGCTTTTTATGAATGTCAGACTTAAGGTAAGTGGGCTGCTTCTGGGGTTTCTGACACCCAAGCCATAAAAGTACTGCTCTGTTCCAAAATACCGGCTCACTTGAATCAGAAGGGGAGACAGAGATATTGTCTCATATTAGCTGCCCTTCAGATGGGCTTTGCAAAAGAACGATGAACCTTTTGAGGAACATCAAGGGACATTTTAAGCTTCGTCCTGCCAGCTTCCCAGGGAGAACACCAAGGTGGCTTAGGAGTTTTCATTCCACTGACTTCCAGTGAGACTGCAGACAAACAATTTGAGTCATATTTTCAAAAATGCCTAATATTCCTAAGGCTCTACTCAACCACATGTTGACAAATGTCCTCCTGTTCATCTTTAAGCAGCAGTTATCATCTGGGACTGATCTCAGGACACTCCTTTCAGCAAAGAAGCCCCTTCTTCTGAACCTCCCAAGTACAGGAGGTCCAAAATGGGTCCGCACCAAACATTACCCTCCACCATCCAGCTCCAGCTCCTTCTTCCTTTTCTCAGGTGCTTCCATCTCCGTACACCTCCACAGTTTGAGGGGATCATGTCTTTTTCTTTAAGCTACATTAGAACAGGAAAAAGGTAAGTTCATAGCAACAACACTTCACAGAGAAGAAGGAATCAGGAACACCCAATCCTATCTACATAACTGAAAAGGAGTTTCTAAATTAAATTACTTATTTTCATTATTCATATAATTACTTCCATCCAGATTCAAAAGCCATTCACGTCACTAGGTTCATCAAAAGATAACTGAAATTTAGGGCTGAGCACTTTAGCAGCCAGATGCTACAGGCAGGTGCTTCAAAGATGCCCAGATGAGACCACCCCTCCCTCGCAGTTATGAGGCTGCCACAGTACCTCACATTGTCACAACGTCCATCACAAGGCACGGAAAGAATTGCAACGCCACCACGGCCTTAGCAAAAGGATTCTGTACACCCCTCACTGCCGTAACTAAAGGCTTTTACAAGGTGCCGCTCAACACACCCACTGGCATTAACAAAATAATGCCCAAAGCTACTTCCTGCATTGGTTAGTAGCATCTCAGGGGCCAGCTTGAAGATGCATTCCATGCCTGAAATTCTTCCTTGGGATGCACATGGATCAGGCTTTTCTGGCCTTCAAAAAAAAAAAGATTAAAAAAAAACCCCAACAAACAACTATTGCTGCACTGCCAAGACATGGAGCAACCCCATCCCACGGCTGTTGGAAGGGACAAGCCTGCAGCCTTGTGTTCCCTCTGCTGACCACGGCACGGCACGGCGAAGGCTGACACCAAGCTTGCCAGAAGCCACCTGCACAGCCGGCGAGAGCGTGGAAGCAACCCCTGGGCAAGCTCTAAAAAGCTCAGTCAAAGCAGGCGGAAGGAGATAAGCAAAAAGGCAGAATCCAACCCCTCTGTCTCAAGCAAATGCCCCTTCTGCTAGCGCTGACCCGCGGGTTTCCAGCCCAACCACCCTCCTGTGCCCTGTGCCCTTCGCTTTCTGCTCAAGGGAGCCACAATCCACAGTGGTCCTTGGGGTAAGCACCGGTCCCAGCCCAGGAAGGCTCCCTGCCCCTGAGAGGAGCTCACACCTTCACTGCCCATCGCTCACTCAAAGGCTCGTTCCAAAAGATGCTGGTAGATCAGTGAATGTAGCAGGACAGAGATTCATTCTCCCGTGCTCCTTGGCTCTGCAATCCGATAGAAATAGAGACTTATACCTCTCTTATTTGTAAAGTTTGTTGTAATATGGGTGCGCACAACTTCCTCAAAAACTTTTAGTCATGCCTTAATCTGCAATCTATCTTTGAACAGAAGAACATCTGTTTGAAGCACAAAATGAATGTCAGTTGCTAGATAACCTGAAAGAACCAATCAGGTTCTGGAAAAAATGGAGAATTCGACCAAGCCACCAAAGTTCGTTGCAAGACCAAGTACAGCCTGAACTTTTGAACTTTAAGAAAAACTGCGCAGGCTTAAAAGACTTATGAATGTTAACTTCTCTGCCCTGGGCGGCATAAAGTGAGCGATAATGATACATGCGACGCATGCTGCAGGAAGGTATAGATGTTAAGGGGGAATAGGTAACAGGTGGATTGGGAATCTGTGCCTTCCTGGCACCTCAGACAAT